CTAACTGTTGTTCTCTTGCAACACTACAACTCCCAGCATCCCTCTGGACTCCAGCGCACAAAAGCGCGGGACACATTACCCAGAAGCCTTTGCATCCTCCGTTAAAAGCAAGGACAAGTCACGAGTTCGCCCCTTCTTGCCCCTTTTTCCTTCCCACCTTCCCTACTGTGTTTGCACGCCCCTCCCCACCTGTTTGTTGCCCCTCCTCCATTAAAAGTGCATCCACGTGGGACTGCCGCGTGTCTGTGTCTTTCCTCGCGTAACCCTCGTCTAACCTGCAGGAATTAAGAACAACACTAACACGCTTCACTTTCTTGCTGTATGTTCTGGGGCTCAAACTCAGGCCCCTCTACTTGAACAGCAAGCACTTTACCAAATGAGTTATCTTCTCAACTCTTAGACTGATATTCTTTTTAAAGTATATTGTTTTGTCAGGCAGTGGTAGTACACACCTTTAACCCCAGCACTCAGGAGGCAGAGGCAGGTGGATCTCTGTGAGTCTGAGGACAGCCTGGTCTACAGAGTGAGTTCCAGGACAGCCAGGGCTGCACAGAGAAACCCTGTAATATATATCTATATAATTACTTTTTCACGTTTATTTATTTAGCATGTGTGTGTCCATCCATGTGGGCTCTGAAGACTGAACTCAGGTCATCAGGCTGAGCAGCAAGCACCCTTATCCATGGAACCATTTCCCCAGGCCCCAGACTGAGATAGTCTTGGGGGTCCTCCAGTTAAATTACAACTTGAACCTGAACCCAGAACATACTTTTTCTTTTCCGGCACTGCTTAGTTCACGTGACAAAATCACTAAGACTGTTCCCCACCTCTATGCTACCCATCCCCCTTTAAAAAATAAAAAAAAAAAAACAAAACAAATCAGTAAAATGACATTTTTTAGCTGGGTGTGGTGGCCAACGCCTTTAATCCCAGCACTTGGGAGGCAGAGGCTGTGAACTCTGTGAGTTCAAGGCCAGCCTGGGCTACTAGAGCTAGTTTCAGGACAGGCTCCAAAGCTACAGAGAAACCCTGTCTCAAAAAACCAAATAATAATAATAATAATAATAATAATAATAATAATAATAAATAAACAATAAAAAAGAGAAAAGACAGAAGGGCAAAGGCCAAAAGCTAAAATCTGAGCAGCAGGAAAGGGGTGCTGCTCTGAAGGCAAATGCATGTATCCGACAATGAGCCTCAGGCCTTCAGCACGTGGATGGGCTGAGTCAGTCTCTGAGTAAACCCAGCCTAGCCCGTTCTGTAGCAAAGGGCACCAAAGCAAGCGGAGCACAGCCTTACCATGGATTCTGATTGCTACAGAAGCAAACAACCATCTCAGCAGGAAAACAAGTAGAGACTGCCTTCAGAGTAACATGTGGGTGTATGTGTGCAAGCACACGCACATACAACACAACCAGTACAAAAGAATAAATTGCAATTGTAAACAATAATTTTAGGTCTTTAAGCATTTTAGATATTAAAAATGGCAGTTATAGATAATGCATTGTAATAAAATTAAATATTACATATTTGAAGATATAAAAATGACATGGAAAATTAACTAAGGAAAGACTGGAGTGGCTGGGCATACTGGAAAAAGAATCAAATAAAATTTTATGGAAGTGAAGCCTGAGACATTGAACATGGAGAAGTTCCTGGCCCAAATTTAACTCTGAAGCAAAACCCCAATTGTGGCATAAGCAGCAGACAAGGAAAAGAGTGAGCCAAGGAGCTGAAGGAGAGATCTGAAGATACTATCTGGAATGTTCATGGAGCACAAGAAGGACACACAGAAGAAGCTGAAAAGGCAAACAAGATGGAACAAGAAACGTAGCATATGCTGAGTCAAAATCCTGGGAGAATGGTAACAGCGTTCCGAGAGAGAGTGGCCGAGAAGTTCCCAAGACTGAGCACGATGTGTGTGTTCAGAACTACATGAAACCCAACATATGCTGCATGGGATATCATTTAAATTCATGTAAAAAGGCTGGAGTACAGCTTAGTACCAGAGAATTTACTTCTAATGTACAGGTTCAGTCGCTAGCCATCCACTGCAAAAACAACCCCCAAACCCTCTAACCCGATGGGTGGCCCGTGACTACAGTCCCTATCTCTCAAGAGGCAGGGCAGGAGGACAGCCTGGGCCCCGAAATCTGAGGCCAGTCTGTGCGATATGGCAAGACCCCTTCATGAGGAAAAATACTATGTACAAAAATTGTAGTCAAGTGTCAAAACATCCAAAAAAAAAAAAAGTAGGTTTTAGGAGCAACCAAAGGGACAAGAGTAGATAGCTCAGAGATTAAGAACACTGCTATGGCAGAGGGCCCAAGCTTGGTTCCCAGTACACATGGGCACTCACAGCAAGTGGCCGGTACCTCCAGCTCTGAGGAGTCTGATGCCCTCTTCTGGCCTCAGCAGGCATTGCACACATGTGCACAACACATGTTATCTATTGGGATAACATGTTACAAAAAGCTAAGAAAAGTTAGCTGTCAGTTTGAAGTTGGGTACTTAGTCCCAAAGGGTTTTTAGAACAAAAGCTAAACAAAGCTACTTTCAGATCATCAAAACCTGAGAGAGTATAATCTTCCACTAAAGAGACCCTCACCAAAGGGATTTCTAAGTGATATTCTCCAGGCAGAAAATTAATTCCTGAGGGGAGACCAAAACTGCAAGAAGAAAAAGTAGGAAGAAATATGGTAGTGGGGAAATCTAAGTTCTGTCCATATAAGGTAATAGTGTCATAAATCACGTGTGGTGGCCCGTGTTTGTGATACCAGCACTCATGGAGGCCAGCCTGGGTTACAAGTTCCAGTTCCAGGTCATTCAGGGAGGAAGGAGAGGAGAGAAAGAATGAGACATTGAATATGAATGATGCCCATTTTGGGAGTTAAAAAAAATCTTATAGCAAGGCATGGCGGCCCAGATCTTTAATCCCAGCACTCAAGTACTTAGGAGGTAAAAGCAGGGGAATGGGAGGGAGGAGAGGGAGTGGGAACTGGGATTGGCATGTAAAATGAAAAAAAGATTGTTTTCTCTCTTAAAAAATTAAATAAATAAATTTTAAAAAAAAATCCCTCAAAAAACAAAACCAAACCAAACCAAAACAACAACAAACAACCCCACACAAAAAAAAAAGAAAGAAAAACAAAACAAAAACCCATCAAAACTAAAGGAACCCTTTACTACTCCTGGAAGCGCAGTGGTAAATACTTGTGCAGAGTGCTTGAAGCCTGGGTTTGATTCCAGCACAGCAGCAGCAGCAACAACGAAGATTAGCACAAAGAACCAGAGAGAAGGTCGACAGGTAGAGGCGCCTGTTGGCCTGCATTCACTCCTGGGACCCGCATGGTGGGAAGAGCAGACTCCCACAAGTTGTCCTCTGGCCTCCATAGATGCATACACACACAAAATAAATAAATGTAATTTAAAAATTTAAAGGTTAGAATGAAAATATTGTTCAACAAAGAAAAAAGAGAGGTAACCAAAGCCAAAGCCTTGCAAAGTCCTATATTATTTGTGGGGAGAGAGAAAGTTACATGGTGGCTAACTTGAGAGCCTTCAAGGGCTTGCATATGAGTGTGTGGTATGTGTGTGGTGTGTGTGTATGTGTGTGTGTGTGATGTGTGTGTGTGATGTGTGGTGTGTGGTGTATTGTTGTATGGTGTGTATGTGTGGTATGTGGTGTGTGGTGTGTGTGTGTGGTGTGTGGTGTGTGTGTGTGTGTGGTATATGGTGTGTGGTATGTGGTGTGTATGTGTGTGGTATATGGTGTGTGGTGTGTGTGTGTGGTATGTGTTGTGTGTGTGTGGTGTGTGCTGTGTGGTGTGTGTGTGTGTGGTGTGTGTGTGTGTGTGGTATATGGTGTGTGGTGTGTGTGTGTGTGGTATGTGCTGTGTGTGTGGTGTGTGGTGTGTGTGTGTGGTGTGTGTGTGTGTGGTGTGTGTGTGTGTGGTATATGGTGTGTGGTGTGTGTGTGTGGTATGTGCTGTGTGTGTGGTGTGTGGTGTGTGTGTGTGGTGTGTATGTGGAGGATGTGTGTGTGTGTGGTGTATTGTTGTATGGTGTGTGTGGTGTGTGTGTGTGGTATGTATGTGGAGGATGTGTGTGTGTGTGTGTGTGTGGTGTGTGGTGTTGCGATGGGACAGTAAAGAGTGTTTTATGTGTAATTTGAAAAAGGAGGGATTTTGAATGGCCAAGAACAAGGACAAGGATGATGGCATGGAACCATCCCTCCTACTGGGGTCTGTCTTCTAGACTGCAAAGAATGCCATATGGTGACTTTATATAGTCCCAGGGCCACTGGAATGTGGCCTCATCTCTAGGAATGCAACACAAGGTCAGGAAACGCAAGCAAGGATAATTCTGGAGGCCATGCCAGTATGGGGAGGGGGTGAAAGTTTGGCTTGCCAGTTTTATCATAGCGATTGTGGGTGGTGGGTTGAGAACACCACACGGTCTCCACATACTTCTCCTTGGAGCGCTAATGAGTTAGAGCGGCACACCTGGGCCTCCTGGCACCAACGTACCCTGATAGAGGACATGGTGACTCTCTCGGGTGCCTCAATGTTGTACCACACACACAAGCTGTTTCGGTTCTGGGCTACCAGCACATCGCTCCCGGGAACCCACTGCACGTAGGAGCAGAAGTTGAGGATCATTGTCTTGGAGCAGCTTTCAATATCATATAGATGCAACTGGAGAGGGAGACAGCACAATTAGGAGGCGTGCACTGATGACATTTGGTTCTGTCCCTTTCCCCCACAGTGAAATGATCCACCAGTCAGTTATGTGTTGAGTTGCCAGCCCTTGGAGTTTGTGCTAAGTTGGTATATCCTGACTGGTCAAGTATGAGATGACCAAACAACCACAATCTAATTCAAGCTATAGTCAGGTGAAGGTCAGACAGGAGAGTAACCCTGGGCCAGATTAGCAGGTAGGGCTACAAACAAACTAAGTGAGCTGACAGTCTGCAGTGAGGCTCTCACTGGAATGAAGCATCACAAGAAAAGCGAACCTCTTTGGAGATGCCACCCTGACAAGAGACTGCTCGAGTCAGTGTCCATGCCTTCAGCTAAGTGTGGCTGAAGCACACTGCGGCAGTGGGATGGGGCAAAGGGCAGCTGGACCTGAGGAGGGGAAGCAGCTCCACGAGGACGCAGCCTGTAAACAGTCTCTGTCAGGGTCCCTAGGTCAGGTTCTGACAGCGTATAGACTATCCTTCGTCCACTTTGCTATGCTAATGGCATATGGAACCAAGAACTTATGTCCTGCATTGCCCCCACAGTCCCAGGTAACAGCTTGTGGACCAGCCCAGGCCTAAAACCCTAGTAACCCCTCTCACACGAAGTTTCCGATCCCTGAAGAGAAGCTTGTGCCCAGTCTCATTAAGTTCCAGCAAATCCACATGGCTCTCGTGACTGATAGTACCAATGTTGTAGCTGCCAATCAGATCCACTGCAAAGAAGACAGGGTAAGAAGAGCGAACCCCGCCATGTAGAGGGCTGCATTTGGTCTCTAGAATGCTGGCTTTATAATCATGTTGGGATTTAGGAACATTTTATCAGTCCAGAGGTATCAATGGGGACCACAAATGACCAATATTGCACGATTTTTCTAAGATGCTTAAAATACTGGGTCTTGCCAAGTGTGGTGGCACACACCTTTAATCCCAACATGCAGGAGGCAGAGGCAGGTGGATCTCTGTGAGTTTGAGGCCAGCCCGGTTTACTGAGAGAGTTCAAGGACAGTCAGGAACAGCTAAGGCCACACAGAGAAATACTGTCAATAAACTTGTCTAGAATTATAAATGTTTTACTTGGCTTTATAGGCAACTAGATAGAAGATCTCATGGAGAAATGGTGGTATACTGCTATAACCCAGCCCTCAGAAAGAGTGGGGGTTTGAGGCCAGGCCCTTCTATGTAGGCCAGTTCCAGCTGCCTCGTTTGACCCTGTCTTGAAAAGACAGTGAAAGAGGGTGACCGTGTTACTGAGTACCAGAGAGAGCTGAGGAATGAAATGACCTGGTGATGTCACCCTGGCTGCGCGGAGTCACCAGAGCAGTGGATGCACAAGTGAGGTGACGAAGAAGGAAGCCCTGAGGAGAGCTCACTCAGTGAAGCTCAGTGGCTCACACCCAGAGCTCAAGCACAAGGCAAAAAGGTTGAGGCAGGAGCATAACCAATGGGACCAGCCGGCAGACAGACTGATAACCTGGAGACAGAAATTATGACAGTAGACATGGTGACTCATATCATACTGACTATAATCCCAGTACCCAGGGATCTGAGACAAGAGGACCAGAAATTCAAAGCCAGTCAGGGCAACATGAGACCCTGCCTTCAAACACTGAAAAACAACACAGCAACCAAAGCCAAACCAAGCCAAGTCTGCTAGAGCCTCCAGGACCACATAGGGACCCTGAAATTATATATAAATTACATTAAAAGGGACTGGTGACTCAGAGAACTGAATATCATTTTACATATATTGAAAAATATGTAAAATTCATGGCGTGAGCGAATGGACGGGTCTGAGGTCTGAGTTATCACCGCCACGAGAATTAGGCCTCCTGGCCTACATATCATTCCCAGTGCAGATACCTGCGTTTCTGAGCTCAGATGTGAAATGTAATATTCATGAAATAGGAAACTATCTTAAGAAGAGGCCCATATGTATACGAAAGCTTGACTTATGACAGGGATGGTATAACAAATTAGTAGGCTTTCAGTAAATGGTTACACAGATGGAAAAAATAAAGTTAAAACCCTACCCACATCACATACAAAAATAAATTCCAGATGGAAAGCAAAACTTAAGAATGTTAAAATATAGGAGGGAATATGGGGAAAAGTTTTTAAATGAGACCTCAAAAACCAGCAATTACTATTACTATTATTTTGGCAGCACTGGTGATTGAACACAGGGCTCCCCTGCACTCTGCCACTCAACTACATCCCTAGACTCAATTTTTTAAACTAAGAATTTGTTAATTACATTTTTAGTTCTTTGTTTCTATTTTGTAAGGAGCACACGTGGAAGTCAGAAGACAACTTGCAGGAGTTGGTCTTCTCCTGAGGGACTAAAGCTGAGTCATCAGGCTTGGACCAGTATCTTTAGAGGCTGAGTCATCCCATTGGCCCTTCAATTAATACTTAAAGGTGTGTGCTACAGGGCCTGAGTCTGATCCTCTAGACCCACACAGTGGAAAGGAGGGATCTACCGTCTCAGAGTGTCTTTTTTTTTTTCAAGACAGAGTCTCTCTGTGTACCTTTGGAACTTGCTCTGTAGACCAGGCTGGTCTTGAATTCACAGAGATCCACCTGCCTCTGCCTCCTGAGTTCTGGGATTAAAGGTGTGTGTCACCACTGCCCGGCTTCTCAGGTTGTCTTTTGACTTCTACTTGAGTGCCATGGCATAATGCTTCCCCCAACCGGTTCCATTACATAAATAACTACAATAAAATTTAAATGTCTCAATACTAAAGATACCTAAAAGAGAGAAAACTCAAGCCACACATACTGAGAAAAAAACTACAATGTAAGTAACCATCAGAGGTTTATATACACAATTTCACATCTCTAACAAAGAGGCCACTTGACTTTCGCAATGCATAAGGGATGAGAAACTGGAAGTCACAGAAGAGAAATCCAAGTGAACAATAAGTAAGTGAAACGGCATTGCACACACACCATGCATTTCAAGTCCTGGAGAGGATGTGGAAGAATAGGAACTCTGACTGGGAGAGGAACGGACATTGATCGTCCTCTTTGGAGAGCAATGGGAGACACTTAGTCAGGCTGAAGGCACAGCTGCTCCTATGATTCAGCAATTCTGCTCTAAGCATGGACCTCAGCAAGTAGCAGTAATGTGATTAAAACCACACCAAACAACAAACCCCCCAAACAACTAGGGGTTGAAGAAATGGCTCAGTGGTTAAAAGTACTGACTGTTCTTCCAGAGGACCCAGGTTCAATCCCCAGCACCCACATGGCAGCTCACACCCACCAAGTTCCAGGGATCCCACTGCCCTCTTTTGGCCTCCAAAGGCATAAGGAATGCACATGGCGCACAGCCATACATGCAGGCAAAATAGCCATTCAACTAAAATAAACCTTTAAAAAATTAATACTCAGCAGGCTGTGGCAGCACATACCTTTCGTCCCAGCACATGGGAGGCAGAGGCAGGTGGATCTCTCTGATTTCGAGGCCAGCCTGGGTTACACAGAGAAACCCTGTCTCAAATAAAATAAAATAAAACCAAATCAAACAATGAACCCCCCCCCAACAAACAAACAAACAAAAAACCACTCTAAATGCTCATGAGTAAGAGATGAGGTAAAAAATTAATATAAATGCAACAAAAAGTTCTGACTTAACAGCACTAGGCGTGGATAAGCAAGTATTAACAATAGGTCATGACTCTCAGCAGCTGGGGTTTATTAACGATTATGTGGCAGGGAAGGATGAGTGCTTCCCTCTGACATAGGTGCTGTCTTCGTTCACTGTGTGGGTTAAGACACTAAGAAAGATGAAGTAACTTTGGTAAGCTCACAGAGCAGTAAGTACGGACAGGGTAGCTGACGCCAGTCCCATCCTTACAGACATACTATGTGGCATGCTCGTCTCTACACCTTCTGCACGATCCTAAGCTAGTCTTAGTTCTTCCTTCCATGCTTGGAACATTTGGTGACAGAAATCATAAAGTGGAGATTGTGAAATGCAAATTACATTTCTATTGTTACTAGTTACTAATAATAAGGGTTACTAATAACATAAATATAAAAAATACAGTCCTTCCAATTCTAAAGAGTCTAGGATTTGATGATGTCTAAACAGGAAAATCCCTAAATTTAGCAGGGAATCGCGGCTACTCACATTCTCATTTTCAAAGAAATATTTCTCATTGCCACCAGATCCCTGCAAGGCTATCTGCAAAGTGAGGAGAAAACATCATAGACAATGTAGACAATCACCCAAGACAAGGCTGGAGGATGTCAGTGGCAAGGAAGAGAGATGGTATTCAGGGAGGTTTTGAAGTTACACAAAAGGTGCTCTGTATCAGACTCTTGCTCTGATCCTCATATTTCCAAGAGAAACCAGTCTGACTGTGGAAGTTTATATTCCAGGAAATAATATCAGAATGGTATCCTATGGGGAATCTTCTTAGGGCCCGCACCTTCAGAATTAGCAAGCCAAGACATCCCATTACCCACCCTGACTCTCTCGGTTCCTACCTCACTGAGGTGATTGGTGTTCAAGTCTCCGAGCAGCAGTGTGTCCGATGTGTGAGCCACCAAGTACCGTTCCTTCCCCAGGATCTTCACCTCTTCTACCTCATAGCCATAGTGGGACTTGAGCACCACCCTGGTCCCTGAAGACAGGTTCTTCACTATCACCCGGGAAGGGACCAGTCCAACCCATCAGGCTTTCCCAGAGCAGGAGAAGAGTGAAGGTGCTCTGGTCCCTCTCGTAACTCCAGGATACCTTGTTTCTCCCTCGGCCTGGGATGCTGTTGCTAAGGACAACACTTGCACCCACACAGGGGTTTCCTACCTAGGAATACTTCCCCATGGCCTGGGCTGTCCATGGCCATTCGATTCTGAGAGCTCTACTCGGTAACACTAATCACTCACTTTGTTCCCGCACTTCTTAGTACAAAGCTCTTTACCAATGAAGACAGAATACTATATCATCGTTACTGTTATATAATTATGAACCTATTATTATCGTTATTATATCATCATGTGCCTAAGGTGACCTCCAACTGCCCATCCTCCTAAATGCTAAGATTTTCTTTCTTTTTCTTCCTCTTCTACTTGTTTTCTTTTTTGAGACATGTAGCCCTGGTTGGCCTGGAATTTGCTATATAGACCAGGCTGGCCTCAAGCTCACTGGCCACATACCAGAGCACAATGTCTTTTTTACAAAGAATTTGAATTACATGGGTGGGTGTGCACAAAGGTGAGTGCAGGTGCCGGATGTCGGAAGAGGGTGTTGATCCCCAAGGCTGAAGACCCAGTGATTGTGAGACACTAACATGGCGCTGGGAACTGAACTTGTGTTCTCTGTAAGAATAGTAAGAGCCGTTTCTATGGCCCTGGTGCGATGTCTTACAGATAAATTACCTTTGTACTCTCAGTCCTTAACAGATCTAACACAGCAGAGAAAGGATAAACATTTCTGGAGAGACTGGAAAGATCCAGGAACAAACTGGTAATAAGAGCGAAGGAAGGGAAGTGGGAGAGTGAGACGCGTGCCTCTGGGACAACAGAGTCCTGCGCACTACAGTTCGCCAGTGATCATACACGTCCACAACTCTAGTGGGCGGCGCTGAGAACAGCTTCACACTGGGGAGATACAGGCACCAATCCCTGTATCTCTTGAGCCAGGTGTGAAACCTTTGCTTGCGATGGGTTAGAACAACTACGTAGCAGGAGGGTTGCCAGAAGTTGCCCTGACACATTCAGTTCCCTACGATAGCTCTGCCAGAGGGAGGAAGGTTAAATTTGACACTGTGGCTGTGGCCAGCAGGTGGGGGAAATGTTACAAGGACAGATGAGCCACGAGAGGTCTCAGCATGCTAGGTCATCAGCTGCTCACCTGGCTGGGTCCCACATACGTCAGCTCAAACTTGTTCTTGTAAATACTCCTTCGGAGGCAGCAGTCAAACTGTTCCACCCCACCACAGAGGGTGCCCTGAGAGAGGGGGGGACAGCATGGAAGGCGATGCACGGCGCGCTGGCCAAGGACGGTATCTGGATATACCCCAAGACCTCAGACCTCAGTGTCACAATCTAGACAGAAGTGGCCAGCAAAAGGGTGGGCAGGTTCTGAACATATCAGAAAAAAAAAGTGGCAATCCCAGGACTTACAGGGATCACATGTGGGTTGGACAATGAGGGGAAATCAGGCTGTCCTGGACAAGCGTGTCCCTCAAGGCCTCCTGGAAAGTGTGAGTTTCCCTTTCCTGCCTTTAACAGTAGATTTTTTTAGGTTGAAGTCACAAGGCAGCTGGAGTTCTCTTGTGTCAGAGTAGAGCGACTCCCTTGGCATAGGGAGTAGTTTCTATTTTACTGTAGTTTGGAGACAATCGCCAGTACAGAAAGGGGCTCCTAACAACACACCGCACAGAGCCGGGAGCCGTCCCGCTTCCAGGCCAAGGCTGTGATGGTGTATAAGTTGGCAATCTCCTTGGGCTTGGCCTCTTCCCAGATGCTTCTTCGAGGACTCCAGTTGAACACCCGGAGTCTAGAAAGGTAAAGAGTGAAAATAGACCAGAACTGATAGGGAAGCATCTCACTCTACCAGAAAGGGAAGCAAACGCAAAAGGGAAGACCAGCGAGGCAGCCCAACGGGAGGGGAAAAGGTGCGGGGAGTTGAGGGAGTAGGGGTGAAAGGAGCAGGTAGAAGATGGATGCCAGGTGTGGTGGTACACGCCTGTAATGCCAACAGGAGAGAGGCAGAGGCAGGAGGATCACTGTAAGTTGGAGGCCAGCCTGGTCTACCCAGTGAGTTACAGGCTAGCTGGGGCCACAGAATGAGACCCTCACTCAAAAACCAACAACAACACAAAAGCCAGAAGTAGAGACACCAGGACAGCAGGACAAGTGAGACAAACGGACGGCCAGGAGAGGGAAGAGGAAGAAACAGAGTGTAGGAGTCAAAGAAGGACGGAACCTAAGGAGACACGTGAGATTGGAAGGACATAAAGACAGACAGACAAAGAGACCTGACCCTAGCTGCTTGGCTGTTTCTTTATTCATTCACCAAATGGCGACTACATTAAAGACCATGCCAGTGCAGGCACTGGCGATGAGGACGGCTACTTAGTCTTCCTCTCAAACTAGAACACAATGGCATAGTGGGGACAAGGCAGGGGGACATGGGGAACGCGATGGCCTCTGCTGTGGAGTCCAGGCTGAGTCGGCACAGCGCATCCTGAAGCAGACGACAATCTGAGAATCCCTTTCAACAGACATTGCTTCTGTCCAGGTACCCGCTGCAGTTCAGAACTTGGCTAGGGCAGAGCTCACAGAGAAAGGTAGAAGAGGCAACTGGGCCGGGCGATGGTGGTGCACGCCTTTACTCCCAGCACTCGGGAGGCAGAGGCAGGCGGATCTCTGTGAGTTTGAAGCCAGCCTGGTCTACAAGAGCTAGTTCTAGGACAGGAACCAAAAGCTACGGAGAAACCCTGTCTCGAAAATCAAAAAAAAAAAAAAAAAAAAAAAAAGATGCAACTGGCCGGGGGACCTACCTGTCGTAGCTTCCTAGCATGACAGACTGGCCTCCAGGACTTGCTGCAGCTGTGGTGAATTCACGTTCCTGAGGATTATGGCTGTAGTCAAAAGTCTGTAGCACGTGGCCTTCCTTTCCATAGGCCACAATCCTCCGATCACAGCCTGCTGCCACGATGCTGTTGGTTGCGCAAGCCAAGGCATACGGTGGGCATGGGTGGTTAACCAACTTCCCCTGGGACAGACAGAATACTTCAATTGTTCGTTGAGAATGCTAGGCTAGCAGCTGATCCACACACTCCTGACCATCCCACCCCGGAGAGAAAGTGAGCCTTCCTGCCAGCATTTCCCACATGAACACGCCCGAATTCTGAAGGCTTCACAGCCTGTCTCTGTATCATGAGCACACGCATGCCACGTGTACACGGGCCGTGTACTCACAGTGGTGTGTTGAGACCTCTGGTACGTACTAGTAAAGCCACCCAAAGAGAGACGACACACAGTAACCAACACTGTCTAGGTCCAAGAGAGTACATGGCTTCAAGAAGGGCTAAATTGAATTATGTGGGTAACTCACAATGTAAACGATTCCACAGTACTAAATTATACAGAGAAAAACAGCAAATTTCCCTGTATGTCTATCTTTTCTTTTTCCAAAAAAATAGTTAATTCTTTAACATCTTATTTATTTGTGTGTGTTTTTGTGCGCACATTTGCATATGTGCACACATGGTCGAAGGGCAGAGGATGACTTGCGGAAGTCACTTCTGTCCTTGCATGGCAAGGGTCCTGTCAGGTTTGGCACTGGGCGCCTTTACCTGATGAGGTATCTTGATGGGCTGTTAACTTCTTTCTCCTATGCATTTGGATGTATATACATTACATAAACATGTATATATATATATATACATACATTTGTGTATATGTATGTATTTACATAAATGGAAATAATTTTCACTTTTTGTCCCCCTTAGAGTCTTTATTTCCCTTCTTTCAAGGTCCCTTCCGCCCACTCCTCCCTATAAATAGTGAGTTCTAGCCTCCTGAACACCAGTCTCCGTGATGGCACCAAACGCTTCTCTCCAAGTTTGCCCTTTTCCAGTCATGGTGCTTAAACCTGCAGTTTCCCCGGGAGGGCTCCTGGAATGTCCACCCCACGCCAGAGTGAGTGTGCGCCCTTCATACCTGTGACCCTCCGGAGCCTTCATCATCGAACAAATACCTGACGATGGTGCCGTCTGCGTGACCTGAGAGGATGCCTTTCCCAGAGCAACTGAAGGGCAGAGGCAGCGAGGTGGGCACAGAGGGAGGGACTTCCGCCCCGTGACAGTCCCCTTTCCATCAAATGCAGCTTTGTCCTGACAGTCCCAGTCTACTTCTGTTACTCACTTGGTTGTCAGCGCCACCACATATGAGTCTGTCCCATAGATGGTAGACGACTTGTTAGTTTTAGTGTTTGCTTATCGAACCTGAAAACCAAACAAGTCTGGCTAGGCTACTTACAGTGTCAGCCAGGCACGGAGAAACAGAAGTAAAAATGCCAAATGACAAAATTAGTCCTCATGCATTTTTCTCAAGTATGCACTTGAGCTCCAGGGGAAAGATGAACCATATTGCCAGGCACCCCAGGACACTATCCCCCCCAATACCTCACCTGTGTCTCCCTCTCCTCCGTTACCTTGCCTTCAGCCAGTCCGAAGACAATAATGTACTCTGCAGGCCACTGTAGACAGGTGACAGCACTCTGTATGAGAAGGGGTGAAAGGGTGACCCGCCTGTGTGGACTGGCACACTCAGAACAACCGCCACCCACCACACACCGTCATTCTAGTCCTCTCCAGGGGGAAAAGGCAGGCAGCGGACACAACAAGGCTCTCAAGCAGGTGACAACACCATCCTTTAGCAGGTCAAGTCGGGGTCAGACATTGAAAAAGGCAACTCCTGTTACATTTACAAGGAGGGAAGCAGGTGCGGCTCACCTCTGAACTTTACCGTCTGGATGAACTTGTTACAGATGACCTTCTTGTCACCCCTGTCAGACAAAAGGCAAGGAAGCAACCTTAAAAATCACTTCCCAATGAACTGCCCAACATGGCCCTCTGTGGGAGGTCTGATGGAGAAGTGAGTGGGTCCCCAAGGAGCCCTGGAGCTATGCCAATGACACAGCATATCACTGGCTCTCAGGACCTTCTGCTGGCTTACACTCATCCCTCCAGGGATGGGACTGCAGGACAGGTGGGGCAGGCAGAGGTGGACACAATAGAATCAGGCTCTAGAGAGCCCCTGCCTTCCATGCCTGATGTCATCGTTATCCCAGCGAGGTATTTCCCATGCCCAACTCTTCTTTAGTGGCCACAACCCGCCTAACCCCCATCCTGTCCTCACCAATCTTCTCCAATCTTGTAGGCATAGATGATGTTGTCAGTCTGTCCGATGGCAATTTTAGTGGAATCAGGGGAGAAAGCCATGCCCTTTACCATGTAGCTCTTCCAGCCACACTAGGAGTAAAAACAAAGATAATGAGTAGAAATGAAGGAGAAAAGAAAACACACACATTTCCCAAAAGACCAGAAAGTTTATAGCGAGAAATAGAGTAGACCATTGCCCATGTCTACGGCTAGAAGGCAGATCACACAGCTTTCTCGGATAACGTGTTGGAGCACATGCGAGTCCTCTTTACCTTCATGTCAGCTGGCTTGGTGGAGAACTTGTCTCTCCCGCTCCCCATGCTCATCGTACAGCAATACCACTCGGTCCACTGTGCAGACAGCATATTTAGCGTTGTTCTGGGACCAGGCCATACAAATCACCTTCGCAGCTCCATCCTGCAGAGGCAAAGGGGTACTGTAAACACAGCGCTGGTCTCCAGAGTACAGAGCGTCTCCAGGTCCATCAGTCTTCGTGTGCCTTTGTTCTACATCTACGACACAGGTTTTCTCTCAAAACTAAACAAAATGAGACAAATTGCTCGGATACCTGAACTGTAAGAATAATAGTCTCCAGGGCCTCACGTGGCCCAGACGGACCTCAGATTCACTGTACGGTAGGGATGACTTGAACTTCTGATCCTCCTGTCTCTACCTCCTGAGTGCTAGGATTCCAGGCGTACACCACCCTGTCTAGTTTATACCATGCCGGGGACAGGACTCAGGGCTTCACTCGAGACAAGCAAACACTGTACTACCAGGCCACATCTCCTTGTCCCCTAATGTGTTTTTCTGAGACTCATGATACAAATGTAACGCATCAACCGTTCCAAAAGCAATGGCCTCCTTGTTTTTTCATCTTTCAGGTCTGCGACTGAAAAAAAAAATCAATTAATCTGATAAATTTTAGCCTTTATAGCTACTCATTCAATTAATGTTTTCCAGCACTTTACTATCAAAGACACTTGGCTGGAAGACGACAGAGAGACAAAGAGCAAAGCACAGATCCTACCCTAGGTTCTAATTGGACGCTGAGAAATTGGAAATGTCCCATAAGAAAAATATGTTCTGAGTATAGTAATAATTTAGAGAAGTCCAAGACAATTTTATGCTTAAATGGTCAAGATTAAACTTTGAAGAAGGGATGCCATCGAATGGTAAATTACTTCAGATGTAATGAGTAGCATGAACAAAGTCAAGCTCTGGCCAAGGACCAGCAATTTAAGGAAGTTGAGACTGCCAACAAGAGAGGAGGCAGGGCAGGAAGCGTAGACTGGGTTAGCTCAGGAAGCGTAGACTGGGCTAGCTCAGGAAGCATAGACTGGGCTAGCTCAGGAAGGGCCTCTGGAGGCCGCTAACGATTTGGATTTATTGGGCAGGAATACAGAGACAGTGTAAGTTTGGAAACAAGGAGCAACAGAATTAGAATTGAGACTTGGGATAAACAATGTCACTTTCCCCTGTTAACTGTCCACTAAAGGTTCGTGGTGAAAGTGACCACTGCAAAAACGGGTACAGCCCAGATAATGGGGCGTTTGTCTGGCATTCATCAGTCCCCAGGTGTGAGCCTTCGCACTGCACAAGAGTAAGCAAAGAAATAAAAAGAATATGGGAATGGCAGGTAAGACGGCACACGCCTGCAATCTCAACACCTGGGAGGGGAAGGCAGGACGGTCAGACATTCAAAGTCCTCCACAATTACACAGCGAGTTTGAAGTCAGCCTGAGCTATATGAGACCCTGACTTAAAAAAGAAAATACGTGATCACCACACAGTGAATTACTCTGCGTGTCCCTCGCCAGCTGTCCTCTCAGGCTCCTGAGATGAAATTTGGCTCCTACGCCAAATGTTGGATTCACTACTTGGGCTACTAGAGGTCTGACTTACAACACCTTTACTTTCTACACCTAACCCAAATACGTCCAGAGCCAGCAGGGGGATCACTGCCCCCAAATCCTCAAACTACAACCAGAAAATAGCAGCACCACCACCATGGTCATGAGCCAACCATTCACTACCATCGGCTAGAAGGGGGTGCAGGCACCTCATCAGCTTTGGCTGCTCATCCTCCTTCAAGGCTGTCCATCCTGGGCATCTGGTCCAGCTGCACCATGACATCATCTTTTTTTAGAGACCAAACGGTTCTATTTCCAATTTTTCCATTAGGGTATTTTGAAGTGACAGATAACAGTACCAGTTTACTGAGCAAGGAGTACAACTTTTTATTGTTCTACCACCGAGTGAGGGCTCGATCCCTTCAGCTTTCCTTTCTTCTAACCGACTTCTGCTCTCCTTACAGAGTGCAAACATCCCCAAGACCCACAATCGATGGGGACGCGTTTCTCTGCAATACGTGCCTGACTGGACTGCCTGGGGGTTGAGTGGAATGGAAAGTAGAACAGGCATTTTCATAACTGCTTGACACCCAGTCGGTACCTCACCTCGTATCTCTGAGGCAGAAGCTATTATGATTCCCATTTTACATATGGGGAAATTGAGGCACTGAAAATTAAGAAAGCTGCTCAGTCACACATACAGTTTTTAGATGACAGATGCAATATTCGAATCCATGTATGTTTGATTCCACAAGCTATAACTCTGTCTTTATGCTGTTGTGGCATATGTATTAATGACTTAATTCTGCCATATACTTTTTTTTTTCAGAATAGGAAAATTTATTACTGTGCTTCCACTGTCAAAATTTAGGATCTTGGTCTTTCCTTCTTGCCTTTGTACAGGGCCAAAAGGGACATGTTGGCTACTTTAACAACCTTAAAGTAGACTCCAAGGAATATCACCTACAGCATGACCCTTTCTACCAAATCCAGCAACCAGAACTTCATCGTTTTCCTCAATGAAGTTCAAGCAACCATCATTGGGGACGAAAGCTGTGATCTTCTTGGTGTTCTTGATGAGCTGCACCCTGACACACTTCCAGATAGCAGAATTTGGCTGCTTGGCTTCAACTCCTACTTTTTCCAGCACGATTCTCTTGGCATGAGAGGCACCTCCAAAAGGATTGGCCTTCAGGGCTGTGCCCAAGTGGGCTTTCATGTATTGTTTTTCATGCCACTTCTGGTCCCGGTGGGCTGCGGAGCTTCCTGGCAGTACGGAGACCATGACACTTGCTCATCTTGCCGATGCCACGGGCCCGAGAGAAAGAGCTCTGCCATATACTTTTATTTACTGTTGCCATTATTATTATTATTGAGACAGGGTCTCTCTATGTAGTCCTCTATCTCGTTTTGCAGACACCATGCCTGGCTATTCTTTTTTTTTAATTAATTAAATTTATTTATTTTGCATCCTGATTGCACTTTTCCCTCCTCACTATCCTTCCATTCACCTCCCCCCCCACACACACACACAATCCACTCCTCTTCTATTTCTATTCAGAGACGGGCGGGCCTCCCATGGGCGGCAACAAAGCATGGCATATCTTGTTGAGGTAGGACTACACCCTACTTCTCCAGGAAACTCTAAAAGTCACACATTATTCTTATGTTTTAAAAGGAGGTCTTGGCTCTGTAGTCAGGCTGGCTCTGAGCACACAGCAAGCCTCCCAAATTCTGCGATTACAGGCAGGCAGCACCATGATCAGGTAACAGATTTCTTTTTGTAGTACTCGGGACGCATGCAGAGGCTCACGCATGCCAAGCACATGCTCTAGTACTCAGCAACATCCTCTGCAAGTAGCATATTCTTTTTATATGTTGGGGGCCAATGTGCCTGTTTGGGTGTGCATGCAGAGGCCAGAGGTCAACATCAAGGGTCTTCCTCAATTGCTCTTCACTTTGTTCTTTTGAGACAGGGTCTCTCCTCTCACTGAACCTGGGGCTCATGAATCTGGCCAGCGAGCTCTAGGGACCCCCTTGTCTCTGCCTCCCCAGCACTGCAATTACAGGTGTGCCTAGCTTTCAAGTGGATGCCGGAGAGCTCGTGCTGATGAAGAGCCGTCTCCCCCACAGCCAGCCTTATTTGTGTTGTTAGCCTGTCCTCTCCATTTCCATGTCCTTCCCTGTGGCCTATCATTCTTCATACAGCTGTCCAATTCATAATGCCCTTTCCATTTATCCCTTACACCTCCATGACACAAGGCAGCAACAGGAGGCCCAGGAAGAGTCCCGGTGAGGCCCCAGTGTTGGTAGTGTAGCCGAGACCAATGATTCTCTGCGATGAACCCACACATGTAAAGATGTATGGACAAAGGAGTATACCGTGTGACTCTCTGTGCCACACTGCAGCTTCCCTGACGAGATTTCCCCTTTCATCCTTTTTTCTGTTTTTCCTTTTTTATCTTAAATTTTATTGGGGGGGGGGGGAGGTTGCAGGGGCAGAGGCTGGATGCAAGGGAACGGGAAATGGGTGAGATCGGGATGCATGATGTGAAAGACACAAAGAATAAATAAAAAAAAGAAAGTTAAAAGAATTTCTCCTCACATTTATTTATTGTGAGTGGTGGGACGGTGCCTGTGTGGCGGTCAGAGAACAACTTGCATGAATTGACTCATTCCTTCCCGTGTGTGGGTCTCAGGGCTCACTCAGGGAGTCAGGCTTAGTGGTAAGTGCCTTTATCCACTGAACCATCTCACTGGCCCAATTTTTGTTTTCTTTTTTCAAGATAGTCTCATGCAGCCCAGGCTGGCCTTGAATTGTCTATATAGCCAAGAATGCACTCCTGACCCTCTTGTCTTCACTTCCCAATTGCTGGGATTTTCGGCCTTTGGCGCCACTGAACCATGTTTATAGTGTGTGTGGGGGGGGGGGGGGTGTATGTGTGTGTGTGTGTGTGGTGTGTGTGTGTTTGTGTATGTTGAACTTTACTTAACTCTCTCCTAAGGTTCTTGGAGTTGCTCTCACTACGGCTTTTCTTTCCCAAATGACGAAGTTAATGACAGAAAGGCCACGTATGATGAGGGTTAAAGCCAGAGATACCTTCTGGTCAACTCAGTGCTAAACCTGAACTCGGATCCCTTCACTCCCAAACCTATCCTTCATGTTTTTGGGCTCCTCTCCTAGAGCCCAGCCACTTCTGAATCTGAGACACACTTTCACAATTCAAATGAAGCGTCAGCCTTGCGCTTATTTCATCCTGTGTAGATTTATGCTCGTTGTCTAGATATGCGCCTCTCCCTCATAGCCTGTGACGTAACTCGACCCCTAGAGCCTAAGCTTGGGGCCTGGCACTCAAATGCTGTATGCGGTGCCATCAAAGTTTGCGGTCTTTAGCAATTCACGTCTCCTACTGAAAGATCTTTCACAATCTTCTGCACACAGCAGGCGCTCAACATTATAAACTTCTGTTACCCCACTTTTTTTTCTTTTGGAACTCCCGGTGGCCGGGGAATGGGAGTCACGCGATTCCTCACCTGAGGGCTCAGCAGGGTCCTCAGGTGCTTCAACTGCGTGACGCAGGTCTCGGATGGTCGTTGACCAAGACTACTCCCGCGGTTACCTGGACAACCCACCAAGCAGCGACGGCGCCAGCCACAGACGCACAGGCAACGTGAGTGCGACACACGTCATAAGGTCACGTAGTGGGTTCGCGACCATGCAAAAGGGTCGTGCGCAAGCGCAGTGAATCCTAGGGCGGGCACATAAGAGGAGGTCGTCGAAGTCTATCCTCGACCAATCCCGTACTTGCATGCGAACTCAACGCAAAGCCCCACCCGCAAGTCTTCGTCTGTCCCCACCCTCCCCAACCCCGCCCCTAGATCCTATATCACTTTAACCCCAGCTTTTCTCCTTGCTGTAACCGGCCTAGAGTGCTTTAGTTGCTTTAACTCTGGAGAAGCACAAGGCAGGTGCTACGAGAGCGAAAGCCAGTTCGCAGAACTGCAGCCTCCGCTTTCCCCGCCAAAAGATCTGTGACTTGCGCGAGGCCACTCAATACTGATAGGGACCAGTGAATGCTCAAGGATATACCTGTTTTTTTTTTTAATTTATTTTTTATTATTGAGAAAAGGAGAAAAAAAACAAACAAAAAACAAGTTTCCACCTCCTCCCAGCCTCCCATTTCCCTCCCCCTCCTCCCACCCTTCTCCCCCTCCTCCCACCCTTCTCCCCCTCCTCCCACCCTTCTCCCCCTCCTCCCACCCTTCTCCCCCTCCTCCCACCCTTCTTCCCCTCCCCCCACTCCTCTCCCCCTCCCTCTCCAGTCCACAGAGCAGTCCGGTTCCCTGCCCTGTGGTAATCCTAGGTCCTCCCCCCTCCGTCCTTGTCTAGGAAGGTGAACATCCAAACTGGCTAGGCTCCAACAAAGCCAGCACATTAAGTAGGATCAAAACCCCGTGCCATTGTCCTTGGCGTCTCATCAGCCCTCATTGTTCGCCATGTTCAGAGAGTCCGGTTATACCTGTTTGAAGTGGGCAGAGGTACAGTCCCATTTTACACAACAGGAGGGGGTCACACGCCAAAGTTGAAACGGCTAATAAACGGTGGAACCGGGATTCAACCCAGAGCTGATAACCTTTTAATTCCTGTGAGTCTTCTCAACTCGTCTCTTTGTTCAGCTTCTCTAACCTGTAACACGGTCTCAGGAAATGATCGGGGTTTGGTAGTACTGGCTAGGGAAAGGCAAGGCACCCTGTTTGGTCATTGGGTAAACGGTGAGTTCAAGGCTGCTTGCCGAAATCCAGATGTCTTTATGGGTCAGTGCAGCGGACAGAGCTGGGCTGGCCTCCTAGCTTAGAGCTGTGTGACACCTGGGGTTGGGGATTGACTAAGAAAAGATACTATTGTCTTTATTTTGTTTGATTGGAATGCTCTCAAGAATTTTTGTTATCAGACAGATTGACTGAAATTCAGAAAAGAAGGCCTTCTCTCTCTAAACGGTCCCAGGTTGGCAAGACTTATACCACCCAAAAAGCATAGCATATGATCTCCAGACCGAAGCTGGGTCCCAAAACCTTGCATGCACAGCGGTTGCCAATGGCAACGAATATTTCTCTCCCCACCACTACCTCCCTCTTGAAAAATTAAGAACGAGTAGAGGGCAGTTCCTATTTTTCACAGATAACACAAATAGGTCCCAGAACCCAGATTATAATTTTTTTCTATAGGGGCACCCAAACCCCTTTGTTTTATTTCTAGAATGCTCTGGATATGGTACAGAGTATAAATGTAAATGCCTTTGTGGATTACAATTATTAACGTTAAACAGAGACATAGATGAAAGAGAAAACAGAGAGGAGGCACTGGTATGCACAGGGTGAGGATACATGGCACCAAGGGACACATCCGTGATAGCTGCTCTTTGGCTAGCCCCCCCATGACCCTGCTCAGTCCTTCTGACCATTTTCCCAGAGGGAATGGTGGAGTTGAAAGAATGGGGAGGGGGTCGGTTATGTAACCCAGTGGTAGAGCATTTGCCTGGTATGCACAAGGCCCTTTACAAAGATAAAAGAAAGAAAATCTACTGGCCCTTTTATGGTGACATGGCCTGGTTTCCATTGGTGCAAAAACTTCTGTGTCTTCTCATTGCACCCCTCCCCCACATTTCAACAAAGCCAAAAAAAGGAGGCTTCTAGCTTCTGTACCCTTTCCTTGTCTTTTCTCCACCCGTCTTAGACGAAAACACGGACACAAACATCCTATAATGGGTCTGTTCCTTTAAGTTGGTGGTGGCGTGAGGGGCCCTTGGAGAGCTGAGAAGGTGTAGAGATGTCTTCAGCATACCATACAGTCACTTCTGGTTTGTCCAAGAACCTTTATTGGAAAAATGTCCCAGGGGTGAGATCACCAGCAGCGAGAGGGACTGCCAGGTGAGGGGGGAGCACCTGAGGCTCCGTGGAAGACATTGGAGTAGTGCAGTGTGGCATCTGCCTCGAGGCCCAGATGCTTGCTTCCTCTTCCTCCGTGGAAGAGGGCAATACAGACAGAAACAGCCCTCTCTGAGGCCCAGAGGCAAGCTGTAGGGGCAGCTAGTGGATGCCAATGGTCCTGATGCAGGTGAGATGGGGCCCCATTTGGGACCTAGTGGGATAGGGTCGAATAAATGACTCACCTGGACCTGGGAGATAGGAGATGTTCCATTTGATATCCACTCCCAGGTCCAGGGGTACAGATTCTAACAGACCTACCTTCTGGCCCTGCTCACAGTGGAAAGAGGATGGGTACCAGCCTGGGATTCTGGGAGTGCACAGCCTTGTGGGAGTCTCAGAGAGATCACCAACTTAGGCCTCCCTGACCCCACCCCCCATTATCAGTGCATCTCTCTTCTGGTTCTGGTTCTTCAGTCACTCAGTTCACTCAAACGTCGATGGTGTTGATAGAAGGAGACTTTTTCTATGAGAGAAGATTACCCAAATCTCAAATTTCAGACAGGTAAAGGTGCTGCTCCCGCCTTCTGGACTCCTTCATCCCAGACATCCCATTCCCGCCCCACCCCCCTTCGCTGCCTATTCTGCTTTTCACTGAATACTCCTGGGCACCCAGATCACCCTTCTCACACTCACTGGTCCCCATGTCACCTGTCTTGTCCCCACTGGCCTTCCCTGAGGACTCTGTTCAGGACCCTTCCCCTTCTCCTTGGGGTTGTTGTTGGAGTCGTTGCCCTTGATGATGTCATACTGACCGCAGAATAGCCCGATCACAGCTGAAACACAACAATACCATCTGAGCCTTGATCTTGACCTCTCATTCACAGCCTTGAGGCTATAACAGCCGCACGACTTCTAGAAAATCCTGGAATTCCTGGGGCCCATACAACCGTCATCCCTGGCCATGCAATAGCCTTCTCTCTTTCTCCCCAAACTTGTCCTGATTACCTCCCTCCACCAGCCATCCCCCCCCCCTTCTCTCCTTTTTCTCCTGACAGGTAACCTTCACCACTTCCCACTATCATGGACCCAAGTCCCTGGCTCCCCATCCGGTACTCACCAGCCCACATGAGCAACACCACCACAATGATGACCACTTCCCCGGTCCTGACCTGCACGGTGTAGTCACTGTCTTCAGCCAGGCCCCAAAGAGCACAGGCCCTAGTGGTGATGTTCACCTCCCTGATTACACGCTGCCCAGAGGGCCTTTCTGTCGCTGCAAGAAGATGTAGAGAAAGGAGAACAACCTAGCCCCGGTCCCTGACCATGAGGCTTAACTCAGAATTCTGTAACATCCAAGCACTCCAAAGGAGTAATGTGCAGGGGTGTTCAGAGACCCAAGGGCACAGGTTGGGGAAACAGGGTGATTGGTACTTGCTGGGAAATGGAGTAGCCAATGACGATGTTGCCTTCTGGGACGTCCCAGGACACAGTGGCCGAGTTGGCTCTGAGATGAGTGATGGTCACATTCACAGGAGAGGGAGGTCGGTCTGGGGGTGCCAGGGTGTTAACAGGTTAAGAAGTTTCACTTCCACACTAGCTCTGAAGGACCCCCACTGCCGGCGTCCTCTTCACTCACCTGCTCGCACAAAGCCCAGGTCACAGCTGACCAGCAGGAGGACCTTGGGACTCAGATATGGGGAAAGAGGCATCAAAGAAGCCATGGTTTCCACCGAGTTAGCCGAGGGGCCCGGAGGCATCCGCTTAACATCCAGGGGGGGGGGGGGGGATCCTGGAAGAGGCAGGAGTTGTGGGGGTCAGGATCTGTCCAGAACGCAAGCGGGATGCAGCAGCTCTCCCAGGCTTCCTACGGCCCATAGCCCATTTTCCCCGCTCCTTTCCCTCCTCCGCATAACCCTGGTGCCCACCACAGCCCCCACCCGCGCAGTCGGATCAGCCCACACTCACCTGCCGGGTCCTCGTGGTCGGTCAGGCCTCGGGGGGTTGTTCGGTGCCCAGGGGGCGGCCCATCGCCGGACTGGCGCTGGCCCTACCCCATCCCGACGCAGGACCGCCTAGGCGGGCAGCGCCGGCCGAGCTGCGGGCAGAGAGGGCAGAGGCGGAGTGGCCGCGGGCCGTGAGTCTGCGGGGCCCCCAGCGTTCCCGAGGGCCACGCATAGTCTGTCTCGGAGCAGAGGGCGTTGCCGGCGAGGCCTGGCAGCTGGCCTGTGTCCCCGGTGCAGAGGACAGTGCGGCGGCCGAGGCTGGTCCCCTGCAGCGGGATGTGACCGTCCGGGCCAGCCAGCCGCCTCCTTCTGCAGAGCTGGCGACGCGCGCTCCGCTGCAGCCCGGCTGGAACGTGCGGGCCCGCCCCGCCCGCCCCGCCCCGCTAGGGTTCCCGTCGCCATCATCCTACCCCCCCCCCCCATTACCTACCCCGCCAGCCTTGTTCTCTCGGGGCTCCTCCCATGACCCTCCCAATGGCGGCCTGCTGGGCCCCTATTCCCTCACCCTCCCTGCTCTAGTAGATGAACTGACTGGGGTACCCGGACAGGTGCAGATGCGAGGGTCTAGGGCACCTGAAAGAGCCCCTCCTTCCCGGCATGAAATTAGCCAAGTTGAGAGGAGGCATTCCATCTCCGAAAGCAGGAGGGGGCTGAGAGGAGAGAAGACAGACTGGTGAAGATGATAATTGTTTTAACAATCTCTTGGAGACTGCGTCAGCCTTTAAGTCTCTTTCCCATTCATGATCTGATTGGATTCCATTCGCTTTCTCATTCATTCCTTCATTTTTTTTTTCGGCAAATATTTAATGAGCATCTTCAGTGTGCCTTCCTTTAGAAGAGCTGGAGATGACTTTAAAAAATGCTGGGCATATAGGAACAATTAAAAAACAGACCTCTCTGTCTCTGTTTCTCTCCCTCTCTCATGTGTTTGTGTGTGTTTGTGTGTGTGTGTGTGTGTGTGTGTGTGTGTCTGTGTGTGTGTGTGTGTGTGTGTGAGAGAGAGAGAGAGAGAGAGAGAGAGAGAGAGAGAGAGTAATTCATTCGTTTTTAGAGAAATCCATTAACCTGCGCCTCAGGTTTCCCACCTGTAAAGCATAGAATCCTGGAACAGAGCTTAGACTATCAAATGTGACAATGCTGGACAAAGGCCTTTAAAAGCCTCTGTTAGTGTATGAAGTGCTGTTTCTTTGCGCCAACTTGCTAGTTGTTGCAAAATTCATTCAGGAAGCATGTAAGTCCTTAAATTATTTCATAGTTTAGCTGAGTGTGAAATCTGTGTAATACTAAACAAACTGACCACTCCTCTGAGCCCATCTAAACACAAGGCTGTCAGCAATGACCCTAAGTGTCCACGTATCCGGGGATGCCTACCATTTGGGGGAAAGAGACTGGCTGTATTCTTGGGCCTGCTGTTCTGGACCTGAGCACAGGTTGTCCTAAAACTGATTCCTGTGCACTGTGAGAGCAGAGTGAAGACCCTTCATACTTGTGGGCAACACAGGAACAAGGCCACAGCTCACCTGGCCTCCAGTTATGGTCCCGCTAGCCTTCTTGGGCCCTAGGTGCCACATCTAGGCCTTTCTATACCTCGGGAGGCAGAGCTGATGAGGTCCTAAGGAGTCTTGAAGGCTGTATCCTAAATATGTGCTCAAAATGTAATAAATCTACAGATAATCTTTCCAAAGACATGGATGAGGAAATAACCAAACATCAATGATGGAAATTCCTTCTCTCGTGGAAGGCAGGTTGATTTGGGGGGAGGGTTGCTTTCTTGATAGCAGAATTAGTAAGTTTATTGTGATTAGGCAAACCTCCTTTCCTCTTTGTTCTGACTTCCAAGAAACCTAAAATGAGGTCTTCTGTCTGAGATTTCTGTGTTTAACTGGGTGATACAGACCACTGAGACAGAGAAGGAGAAAGTATCAGAGATGACTAGCTTGCAAGTGGGCCATTTCAAAGCCCCGGGGACCTTCTTCAGGAGGTCATCAGGCAACAGGAAGAGAAGGGGCAGGGAAAGGTCTGGATTCATGGAGAGGATATGTGTGAAAACTCAGTGTTAGAATCCAGCCACTGCCCAGGCCACAACACCCTCGGCAGCCTTTTCCCAATCACAGAAACTGACAGATACCTACCGAGTCCCCGGCTAACAGACCCCTGGGGCTAGGGTCTCTGCACTGGGAAGAGAATTTATACCCAAGGGGGTGGGGATATTATCACATACCTTCTTCCCCAGCCCTTTCCCTGGCTCATGTCCAGTTCACAGACTTCTACTGTGAAATCAACCCCCAATCTCATTCTGCACCCAGGCTCTGTACAACTGTTCAGAGACCCCACCAGGCTGCCTCTCTCTGGGCTCTGAGCTGTCCTTGGAGCCCTCACCATGTATGTTTTATCTTTCTGCTTGTCTGTGACACTCCTAACTTTAAAAAAAAAAAAAGGTAAACTTCTACTCCCCAACACCCCTCCTCAGTGTCTCTCTTGAACCCTGCCCCCACCTGAAACCTTACATCATGAACGTTTCAGTTAACCATATCGAAGATGATGGGCTTGATTACTATGGGATGGAGAGCTCTGGGGTCATGGCTATATGTTACCTTTCTCTGCAGGAGAGCCCCTATCTGTTTACCTACTGAAATAGCAACTACCAGGCCAAACAGCTGAAACCCATAGGAAGGCTTCAGGTAAGGGAAGGACAGGCGTGAGTCTTTGTAACCTTCCACATGGTTCTCTGTGTCCTGAAAACTCCACTGGCCTCTGGGCACACCGAGAGCTGTGGAGTTCTGGAAACTGCAACAGGTACCTGAAATTCAGCCAGGGCAGACTGGGGGGCAAAGGACCTCAAGTGTATATGTGGCTTGCTCTTGGTGGCCCGGATCAACACCATCTTAGACTTGACTCCGTGTAGCTCTCAGAGCTACATGAGGTAGTTGGGGTTCCACGGCACTGTGGCAATTTGACAAGAGACCTCGGATCCTCCACAAATCTTTGGCTAGTCCTTGAGCCTTTAATCTGAGAAGGAAGAAGATAGAATTGTCAGGGTAGAGGGAGAAGGGAGCTGAGGTCTGGAACCAGGTAGTTTGGGGACCAGATAGCCTTAAAGTCCAACCTGACCTGCACTGTACACATCTGGATTGTGGCTTATCATCTCAGAGTCACCTGGATTCTTCCCGCTGAGATTAGATAGGGCACTTTGCACTCCTCAGGGCTCAAACACCGGAAGACTGACGTCTTTGCTCTCAGAGAACCAGGACAAAGGTGGATAAAGATGACTTGGTCCTTCCCTTTCCATGGGAGCATTCGCTCCAAGTGGTAGAGTGAGCTTCTACTCTTAAGAAATGCAACGAGAAAGATTCCTGAGTTACCAATGGGCCCCATATTTTCTAATTTATGCACCTAGAAGGAAGCAGGCACAGCGAGATGAAGCCACTGGTTCTACCTTCAAATCCAGAGTCTTCCAGATCCTGGCTGTGTGTGGATAAGAAAGGTCCTCAATCTACCCGCGCCTTTTGTTTTCATTTGGGAAGTTGTAACTGTGATAGTCTCACCATGTGGAGTTACAAAGTGTGTTAAGAAAAAGAAAGCATTTATTCCAGTGTCTGGAATGCAGGGAATCCTATCAAAGTGTTGCTATTGGTTTCTATATATTGCTGTTTTCCCTTGGGATGCATTATTAAGTCTCTCCTATACCTCTAGAACGGAAGCTCAGAGGGGCAAGGACTCGGGGCCAGGGCGGAGTCATGATCTGTTAGCTGATGAAGAAGATGTATAGGTGAATCCTAGACATGAGATTTTAAAATATGAATAAAGCACACTGATAGTCCAAAAGGACATAGTTTGGTAGAGAAATGGACACACCAGCCAGCAATTACAAACACTATAGTAACTGGAATTAAAATTTTGTGTTGAGTCTTCTGGGAATACAGAGGAAGAAAAACCAACTCAGAAAGTTAAAGATGACTTTCCTAAAGATGATCTCAATTTTGAAGGATGACTAGGGGTGAACCTGAGAGGCAGAAGGGTAAGAAAATGGAGAAGAAGGAAAGAGTTGGAGGAATGTCTTAAGCAAAGGCTCAGAGGTATGGGAGGGTATCAAGACTTTGGTCAAGGACAGACTAGAGTCGGGAAATGTTAGGATCGATGGATTTTATGCTGAGGTTGGTATATGGCAGCAATTTATTTGTCCAGTCAACGAATAGTATTTCCTAGATGCTTGGCACCGTTGTCATCTTTGAGGACACAACAATAGGCAGCATAGACAGAAGGGCCTGGCTTGGCTGAGAATCTAGGCAGGGGAAGGTCACAGTTACATCTTCCTGAGAGAGAGAGGGAGACCATTGCAAAGGGAGAGGAGGGGACCTCCAGTCTAAAGGAGGTGACACTGTTGAGGACCTGCAACACTGTAGACAGGACTATTAACAGCTTGAGCTCAGGTGAAGGAGAGGGAGGAGGAGACAGATCAGAGCAATGTGTTATGGACAGTGAGCTATGAGGTTGAAAGAGAGAGAGATCTAAACAGACATAGTTCTGTTCTAATTGTGAGTGGTCATTTCCAGTACATAGGGCCAACCCCCAATCCTCTCCCCCAAGTTCTAGTCCAGTTGGTGCGTTTGTTCATCCCTGCATGTCTCATTTCAGGTGAGAGAAGGCACAGAGTTTAGCTGTTTGGACAAGGACCCCTCGGACACTGTCCCCACCACAGGTACATGGTTATTTGTTGGTGGGTTTTCCCCTCCCTTGAGGGCTGGAATTCAAGTCAGAGCAACTTTAAGATAGCAAAGACTCCCAAGATCAGGGTGAAGGTGGGTGAGAAGGTCCAGGACAGGTGTTTATGGCCCTGCCCTAGGCCATGAGGTCATGTTTATGCGTGATTATTATTTAACTAAAATAATAGCATCCTTATCAGAAAGCTTTGACTGAGCATTGACCCCATGTCAACCCCATTTGACTGAGCTTGACCCCATGTCAAGCCATGTTATGTATGGAGCCTAAGGGTTACTGAATTCATTGTTCCTATCTTATAATCTTGATGGGTGAATTTGTTCTTTAAAAAAAAAATTACTTGTAAACAGAAAGCAAATTAGCCAGTCCATACTTCTTACCCAAGGAATGTGGAAAATGTGTTCAAAGTCTGCACAGAATGGGGATGCCCAGCAGATTAAAAAAATTGTCATTGCTCTCTATGTTTCCTTTCCCTTTCTCTCTCCCTCTCTCTCTCTCACTCTCTCGCTCTTTCTCTCTCTCCTTCGTTCCTGCCTTCCTCCCTATCTTCCTATCTCCATTTCTCTCAAGACAGTGTTTTATCTGTATAGC